TCAAGTAAACAATATTCAGAACCGTTTGTTAAATTCCTAGAGAAATGCAGTATCATCTCACAGAACACCATGTTAGGTTCTCTTAGCATGAATGATGCTGCTGAAAGACGAAAGAGAATACTTAAGAATATAGCAAGGAGTATGATTAGTCATTCTACTTTGCTTAAATCACCATGGAAAGAAGTATTAAAGACCGCCATATATTTACTCAATAGAGTTCTAACTAAAGTAACTACAAAGACCTCTTATAAGGTTTAGATAAACAAAAACTCTAATTTGAGACATTTGCACATTTAGAGATATCCAGTTAAGGTCAGACCTTATAGGCCACATAAAAAGAAATTAGATTTTAGAACTGTTAGTTGCTATTTTGTTGACTATTTTGAAAGATCTAAGGGTTACAATTTTTTAGACAGAAGATGCCTAGTTCTTTGATGATGTTGAGTTTGTAGGGGAAAAGAGAGTTCGAAACCTTGTCTTTGAAGAGAAATATATTAATATTTTCTTAGTTACTCTTGACAATGATCAGGATCAGGTTCTCATACCTTACATTATTCAAGAACCAAATCAAATTAAGATAATATCATAGTATCTCTCGTTCATACTCAAGAAGTTATTTTAGAAGAACAAACTTAACACCTTCAAGGACCAATAATATTAAGAAGATCCACTATAGAGAAGAAAAGTACAATTTCATACGATTATATTGTATTTTTTTAAAAACATGAGGATGACATTAGAATGGTGGAAGATGATCCAATCAACTTCCGTCAAGTCATGGATATTTCTAACTCTCAAAAGTGGATTGATGTCATGAATGAAGAGATTAAGTCCATAAAGAAAATGACATTTAGGATCTTGTCCCATTACTTGAAAGTATGAAACTTATTGGTTGCAAATAGATTTTTAAGAACAAGAGGGATTCAAAGAGCGATATAGAGAGATACAAAACCCATCTTATCTCTAAGAGTTTTACATAGAAAGAAGGTATTGATTGTAAAGAGACTTTCTTTCTAGTTTCATTAAAAGACTCTTTTAGGACTATAATGCCTTGAGTGACACATTTTGATCTTGAGTTAATTCAGATAAATGTTAAGACAACGTTTCTCAATGGTGACATTGATGAGTCAATTTATATGGTACTATCATAAAATTTTGTATTAGGCGATGCAAAACAAATAGTTTGCAAACTAAAGAAATCCATCTATGGACTTAAGTAGCCTTCCCGTCAATGGTATCATAAATTCCATTAGGTTATCATTTTGTTCAGTTTTGAAATGAATATAAAAGAAGATTGTGTATACTATAAATTCAGTAAGAGTAAATATATTTTTTTTGATTTTATATATCGATGACATACTATTTGTCAGTAATAATATAAGCTTATTGCACGAAATTATAAGATTTCTGACAAAAAAAATTGAGATTAAATATATTAGGGATGCCTCTTTTGTATTAGAAAGTTCAGATATACCACGACCACTCTTGGAATATGCTTGAATTATTACAAAAAAGTTATATAAAAAAAGTTTTAAAGAGATTTGGCTTGCATAATTGTAAAATAGGTGACACTTTTGTATTTAAAGGAGATTAGTTTACTCTAAGTCGATGTCCCAAAAATGACTTCACGACTAAAGAGATGCAAAAAATTCCTTATACTTCTGCTGTAGGGAGTCTTATGTATGCACAAGTTTGTACACATTTGGATATTGCTTACATTATTAGAATGTTAGGGAGATATTTAAGCAATTCGGGTATAGATCATTGAAAAGCAGTCAAATGTGTTATGTGGTATCTTTAGAGAATAAAAAACTACATGCTCACATTCAGGAGATCAGATCAGTTGGAGATCATTGGTTATTCTGATTCTGATTTTGCCAAATGTCAAGATAGCAAAAAATTTACATTATACTATATCTACTTGCTTACTAGAGAGAGCTACTTCTTGGAAGAGTACTAAGCAAACACTCATAGCCTCTTCCACTATGGCAACATAGTTTATAGCTTGTTATGAGGCATTCAATCATAAAATATGGCTGCAAAATTTTGTCACTGGGCTAAACATTATTGATGGCTTAGAAAGACATTCAAGTTATTTTGTGATAATAGGTCTGCAGATATCTATTCCAACAACAACAGGAGCTTAACGAAATCAAAGCATATAGATCAAGTTCCTAGTTGTTAAAGAAAATGTTTAAAATAAACATATATTAATAGAGTATATCGTGACGAACTCCATGGTTATAGATTCACTCATAAGGGAATTACCACCTAAGTCTTTCATGAACACATTGCCTGTATGGGTGTAGTATCTCTTGATGATATATAGTTTCAGTAAGAGTTTTGTACTATAATTGATTTTATGATACAGACATGACATAACTTTTGTAATTTGGATTTAGTTTATGGATTTCATATTTTATTTCCATTATAATATTTTAGTTTATGTCTATATTTTATCTCCGAGTTTTCTTACAGTTGATCTCACTAAGGTTAATTAGGATTAGTTGAAAATAAATATGCTTGAGTCACATTGCATGTAATTTCTATGCTACACATCCATGTCTAATCCATATCATTCAGTTATATTGATATACATGACCATTGATAGGTTTAATTACAATAGATATAGCGAAAAGCACTTTGATCCTATGTTGATATGATTGATGGACGAGATTGTTTAGTGATGTATTCAGGTAATGATAACAAAATTCTGAGTACTCATAAAATTATTAAATGCACAATTATGACGTAACACATATAGCTCAAGTGAGAGATTATTGGGTTTTAAATTTACCACATGGGCTTATATGTGTAAATTACTGTGCATAAAAGGGTATCAGATTAATTTGTCCCGTTTAGAAATAATCTGATACAGTTAAGGGTATATTGGGCCTTAATGCATTATGTTAAAGTGTCGGGTTCATTTTATACGTAGAGACCAAATCTGTAATTTCTAATTTTGTAATGCGTTAAATTAGAAATATAAAAAATTTACAAACATAATTCTCCTATAAATAAGCGATTATAGTCCCCAAATTACACGTAAAATTTTTCTATTATAATATCCCACACCAGAAATAAAAAAAGTGTGAGAACTCAAAAGAGTATATGCTAATTCAAAAAATTTACCGCAGAATATGCAAATTTCTTTTGCTAAGGATCCAATTACATTGTTGTTATAGATATAATATCTTTGATTTGATATAAGTTTGGTTATTTAGATTTCAAATTTATTTTTGAAATCCCTACATTAATAACTCTTTTAGTCCTTTTTGACAATTTACATTTCTCCCTATTTTTTCCTTTATTTTTTTTTTTAAAAAATTATTCCTTATTCCTTATTTTATCCTTTCCTTTTTCTTTTCTTCTTATTTTCTCTTTTTTTTTCATTCTCTTCTTTTTGCCTCATGTTCACCATAATAATGTTTCTAATTTTTGTTAAGGTTAGTGTTTGTTAATTAGGATGTCCAAAAGGTCTTTTACCATGGAGGCCAAAAGCTTTAGTTTTGACTATGAGTACGCGAGTCCCTTCTTATTTATCTTCAAGCAGGATGATTAAAATTTGTCTTTCTTGTGCAAATTATCCCAAATAATTAAACTCACAAGTATTTTCCAAACTCTTGCAATATCAATAATTATAAACTTACAAAAATGCATAATGTAAAAACATTATTAGAAAGGGGATAAATCAATAGATTGTGGTGGTATCAAGGCTTAATGGTGAATTCTTTTTCTTTTAGTGCTTTTTTTATTATTTTTTTTTTGGAAATTCAAAACAAGAAAATGCAACGTTTCGATGCCAAACGGGCAACCAATGTCCAATAAAACAGACATAGAGATAATATAAACATAACAACAGAACTATATATCCCAATACAAAATACAAAAATTACACATTAAGACGTTAAGCTATCTACACTTAAATAAAAATAAAAAAAGAACTTATACAAAATATATTAGCCTTTAAAGATTTTAACGAAAATACACAAGTCTGCTCCCATAACTAATCCTTCTGTTAGGAATCTAAGCAGAACTCTTTAACAATCTCATCAGAATCTACATCTGTAGGGATTTGGATTTGGATGAATTATAATACTCAGTAAGATAAGTAATATTATATGTTTTAAAAACATTTCCTTAATGCAAATTTTTAAATAAATATAATGATATACCAATAAACCATAATTTAATGTTATACAGTTTTTACAGTAACAATACAACATTATTAGGTACTCAATACCGTATTCAATGTGTTTACGTAACTTATTCACTCATCAATGACGCTTAATATCGTATTTAATGAGTTTACATAACACGCACACACATGTCCTCTTCATTGTTACTTTGTTTAGGCATCAAAGTTAATTTTTATAAGACAGTGCCAATGTCATATTCATTTTTTATTCATGCAAGCAAAAAATTCAAGGTTTAAAGTAGCTCCTTACTTGATGTAGGAAATGTGTATTGATTCTAGCTATATTTATATATTAAACTAATACTTTTTTATTCTTTGTCTAATGTTTCATTTTCTTAAGTAACTCAATAACTTTCATAAATAGCATTTCATGTTTGTGAAAATGATAGAAACAAAAAGAAGAGTTGTTTTTCCCCTAAAATACATTAATTATGAAAAATTTAAGTGTCTTAAAAATCATTATTTCACAAAGTAATTGCAGATAGAGTTCGACTATTACTTAAAAGGATGATCCATTCTATCATACAATAAAATCATGATGAAATTACCAAAGCTATCATAAATTATAGTTGTCTTCTCAATTACATAACTAAAATTTATTTCATGAAGCATTTGCAAATACTATTCGAATATTACTTGAAATGATATTATTTTAAATCATATAACAAAACCATCACAAAATCTTTACTAAAGCTACTAAACATTAAAGTTGTCTTCTCCAAACATATGCTAGATATGAAAAATTTCCATGTCTCAAAGGTTATTATTTCATGAAGCAATCACATGCACCATATGAGTATTACTAAACAAGAGGGTAAACCTTCCGACTATATGATAGAACCATCACAAAATCCTTGGCTGAGCTACCAACAGATGTTTGTATAGTGCTTGTCGTGCTTGTCTCAATCCACCACTTCACTAACTGGTGTAGTTGCACTGAAGAAATCATTGGATGACCCTTCAAAAAGATCTCAACCTGAAAATATTTTAAATCAAAATTCATTTTGTTAGTATCTAAAAGTTTACACAAAAAATTTAATATTTTAGAAGATATTTGAGGATGTATGGACTTATTTGTAGTTAGAAGCACAAATATATACAAATCTAAGGTTAAATACATCAAGATTATGAAAATAAAGAAACAAAAATTTATAAAATAATAAATTTAAAAAACTTATACAAAACGAAAAGATAAAACTAAAGCATCTTTATATTAAATTGTCAAAAAAAGGTCATAAGATTTGAACAACAACAAAATCAAACTACAACAGGCAAAACCATAGCTTCTCTATTAAGAATGTTTTGCAATAATTAGTATCGGCAATATGTTTAAAAAAGTATCTCATTCCATAACCAAGAAGAGTGAATTCCGTTATTGATTTATCATATCTTGTAAGCTTTTAGAGATAAAACCTTATTGAATATTCTTGTGCAAGACATAACTCCGGTTTGAAAACTAAAATAGATAAATATAAATAGTGAGGGATCAAATATACCTCATCCTCACTAACAAGACCCAATTTTTTCACCAAGTACTTTTTGATATATGAAACAGGTAAATTACCATCCCTATAAAAAAAGAGAAATGGTCAGTAAAAAATATATATATAAGCTAAAAAGAAGCTATAAAAAGGATTGATATCAATTTCTATAATAGACCAATGTCTTAGATCATTAGTACTCTTTGACTAAGTTCAAATAAGTTTTTTTCTTCTTCATAATATTTTTATTTTAACTTGATGTTTTTTTTAATGTGAAAAGAGTTATTATTCTACTATGAGGTTATGATCATGATACTAGAAAAAAAAATCCACTCATATAACATAATATAAGATAAATTATCTACATATATGATAAAGTAATCAGTGTGTCTCATTTAAAAAAATACTTTCTTACATTAATTATTTCATAAAAGATGAATCTATTTATTTATATAGGTATAATGTAGTTATTACCATAATGTTTTTGAGTTGTGAGGCATATGAGCATACAAATTGCATTTCATAAAAGCAATTAAATGAGATCTATAGCTAAGTGAAAAAAGAAAAGCAATTATATCATACTGAGTTAGTACATTTAAAAAAAAAATCAAATGAGACCCTAATATAATCAATTTGTTTCAATTTAAAAGAGCATGTTTTATGTAATTTACTCTTTCATATTTACGTCGAATAAAGGTTTTAAAGTATCTGTAGATAATATTAAATAGACTAAAGAAATATTTTTAACATAATTAGAAAATTACATATCAATTTACTAATAAGATTCTCAAAATCTAACATCCAAAAGAAATGAGTAAGTAAAGTTCATTGCTATACGTATAAAGATAAAAGGAAAATGTTGGAAAAATGTTACTTACTTGACCCTTAAGTAGGGTGACGGTATCTGAGGCAAGGATGAAACGCTTTTCCTGAGACAAAATAATCAATAATTAGATTTTCAAGTTAATTAATGATGCAAGATCAATTAAACATTACAGTACCAAACCGAATTTATTTTTTACTGAGAAATTTTGCTTTTCTTTTTCTTTTGAAAAGGGTCTTACTGATTTTCAGAAGCAACTAATGAAAACCATATTGTCTTAAATCTTTGACTCGATTCACTGTTTGTAATTGCCATAGTTTGTATTGTTGGAATAATTCTTCTCTCAGAATCAATTGCTGTTCTTGGAGGAGAATCTTGTACATTTGGAACAATTGCTCTCTTAGGCTCAGTTGCTTTCCTTGAAGGAAAATCTTGACTTCTTCTGGTTCTCATCGAACTACAAGATATCATAGTAGATTCTTTTTCATTAACTATCGGTTTTTTTCCCTGAGCTTTAACATTTACAGAAACAAGATGTGTTTCGCTGGCAAGGACCTCAGTGCAGGGTTTTTTTCCCTGGGCTTTAGCATTAAGAGAAACAAGATGTGTTTCACTTGCCGGGACCTCAGCGGAGGGTTTTTTTCCCTGGGCTTTAGCATTAAGAGAAACAAGATGTGTTTCACTCGCAGGGACCTCGGTGCAGTCATCCTTACTAAGTGTTTCTCTTGCAACTTCTGCCAAACAATTTAGTGGTGTCCACATATTAATATTTAGGTCAAGTAATGATGCGATGCCTTCCTCACTACTTTTTTTTGCCATGTTTTCCTCAGTATTAGATTGAATCTGCATGACAACAATAATTAGGCACCAAAGTTAGAAAAATAAAATCAAGAATACTATAAGAACATTTACACATATCCGAGCACACTATTATCTATTTTACCTGCATACTTTTTGTTCTTGCACTTTTGATGTCTTTCTCATGTGGGCATACTAAAATCTTCGGATCAAAGGTCACCTTTTTAGCAGATTCCTCAGTTTGTTTAGTAATTTTTCCATGAGCATGATTTTTTCTAGTAGCAGGAACCGACTTTAGTCTTTCTTCAGTTGGAGCAGATTGAATTGATTCATTGATTTTGTTGTTCCCCACTGAAGAAAGAGGTTTTTGTTTTCTCTTATATGGTTTCATGGCGTCTGAGAGCAACTTTTCTACTTTTTCTGGTTCCTTGTCTCTTTTTCTTTCACCAAGGAAGAGCTTCTGCCTCAAAGCTTGCAAAAGATGGTCTGGCCTATAGGGAGGGAAAATCAAAGGATCATGTTCTATGTTGTAATTTATTTTCCATATAAAATATATAAAAAAGAAGGTATATACATTCCAAGTCGCAAGCAACATCATACTATCAAGGATGTAGTATGCAGGATGGTTGTATATATACACAAACTTTCTGTGAGTGTAATGTATACATATATAAATACCAACAAAAGATTTATGTTATCATGTGAAGATACTTAAAAGATCACATTAATGATATATGAACATGAATAATTCTTTTAATATCTTTTTCTTTTCATTTTTATATGTTTATCTTAGTCCTCATCTCATATGTTCTCCAAAGCAACAAGAATCTTGAGCTATTTGATTCATTTATAGACTTATATCATGGAAGTGTACTAACGTTAAGAATCAAGATATGTAAGCAAAAATAATCATTTCTATATCTAAAATAATGGATATTATTATATAATAGTAAAAAACCATTAAAAATTTAAGAATGAAGTACCTGAGATTTTTCATTGGATTAGAGTCTAATTCGATACCACATACTGGGCATTCCTTCTGGTCCTCTTCCAAAAACCTTTTGTGTATACACTTTTTACAAACTGATTTAGATAAAAAAAAAATTAATGTGTGTGCATCAGTAATTATTCACTAATAATCTCAAATATAAAGCTTTTTCTAAAGGAAAAGCAAACACCTAATATTTGTCTTTGGATAATTTGACATTTGATGATGCTGCTGGTTCAAGGCAAGTTCAATATATTATAGAAGATGCGTGAAAGGGATGTCAAAAGCAACACAAGGATGTATATTTATCTTCTCAAGTTCCTACTATTATTATTTTGATTAAGCATTCAAGAAAATAACTAAGTTACTTCTAATATCATCAGGTTGTTAAATAAATAATTTTATATTCAAGGAAACAAAGACAACAAATTTATGATTACATGCATGAGTTCTTTGTTCACTAGTAATTGAAGATAGATAAAAGCTTTAATAAATTTTCGACTTTTCTCTAGCTGTTAATCCATTAATTGAGACTAAGAATGCATATATACCATATAAGATATGATGAAATGAAATTTTAAAGAAACAAGAAAAATTTAAAACCACTTAATAGTTATATAAGAGAATAATTTACAAAAATTCATACATTTTAATAAATAAATGATATATGTGTACAAATAACAACATAATTAATAATATTATAATATTTTAACGAGAATTCACATTAAATGTACAACTTGATTTAAATTTACACTCTCATAAAGAGAAAGACTTACAAGTGTGGAGACATTCATTTATGGTGGTAGCATCTTCGAATAAGTTATTGCAGATACCACAAGTCATACGTTCTACAACTTTATCTCTAGTATCTAACATTGGTAGCTTGCTCTTGCCTCCTGTCATTATCATCTTCTCTCTTGTAATGACAAAAGCAAAAATCAAGATTTGAATCAAATTGATCAATCATATTTGTTCATAATTATTTGTTTAAGTTTTTTCTCAAAAAATTCAAAGGAATATTTGATTTTAGTTTTTAACCGTCGAAAAAGTAGCTGCTATAATCAAAAGATGATGTAAGCTTGTGAGAAAAAACAAAATGGTAACTTTTGTTTTTTATGTATGTGTTTGTTGAAATAATGTTAACATAAAACAAAACGTATGTTGCAGGTCATTTATGGATCACGTGATGTTGTTAACTATCTATCACCTATATTTAAAGTAACTGGTGCTCAACGTAGGATTGTAAAATTCTTTAAAATATGGGTAAAATTGGATATAAAAGAAAAAATAAAAGTACACTGGAATAAAAATCTTACTTCTTGTATATTGTATATGAATTATTACTGGGGAAAAAAAAAGAGTTCAATGGGTACAAGCAAAAAATTTGTTCCATTAGATTTCATACTTGCATTATTCTGTGAAAATCTTGAATAAAACGCAATGAAGTAAATACAATTGTTTTTTTCTAATTAAAAAATAATACCATTTACATTTCTTCGTCATTATGATTCAAACTAGATCTGTTATCTATGGTTTTTCTTTTGATTTCAGTATCTACTTTTTTGAGCATTCTAGTTGTATACCAAATTTATCGAGACTTGTCAAGGAAAAGATCTAAACAAATATGCAGAACCAAATTAATTGAGGATTTTTCCTATAATTTCTTGAGTTTGTTGCAATAAGAATGCGGAGAAGATGGACATTGATTTGCTGGTTTTGATTTTGAACCTCTTTTTTTTTCAAGTTTAAGAAAAGAAAAATAAGAGAGAGAGAGAGAGAGAGAGAGATCGTACCTAATTTTCGGTTGAAATCTTGATCAGGAAGCAAATCGAAGTCTTAATCAAAATGTAAACTTCTTGTATCCTCTTCTGTTAGTTTCTTTCGACTTCTCTCTCTTTTTTTGGGTAGAGCTTTTTTGAATTTGGTCTTTTCACCTACTTCAGTATTTTCTTAAATAAATTCAACACACCTATATACAAGTGTCGATATTATTGATTTTAATAGAGTATCAATATGCTACGTGTAACTTTTTAATTTATATATTATTTAAAAAATAAATTACTTACTTTTTAATGACATCACATTTAAACCGTTGCTGTTTTTATTAAATTAATTAAAATTTTAAATGTTTATTTTTATTCCCTCTCACTTTTTCCTCTCTTTTTATATAGAAAATTTAAAACTAAACCTTAATGAAAAAAAAATTAAGATAAATAGAGCAATTTCATTTTATTTACTAAAATAATGCTTAAAAATTATTGTAAATATTCTTAAATAAAATAGCATATATAAATTTTTTAAAAAGACATCTATATCTTTATTATGCAATGAAAATGGAGTTGTGTCCTATTTAGTATTAAGGTTTAGACCCTTATTTAACACTTTTTTTTTGTGCAAAATGACTTTATTTTTATGCTTATGTTTGACTTTAAATGATGTCATTCTATGCATTTTCAATTCTCGTCTTCTGTGTTTTGACTTGTCTTGTACTCATTTTTTAGTATAATAGAGACTTAGCTAAATGTCCTTCGTCTCTCATGTTGGTGGATCTCTACTTAATGTGGTCTTACACAATAATTTAAACGTACTAACAATATCGAAAATAAGTCATCTAAAGAAAAATACTAGAAATGAAAGACTATAAAAGAAACTAATAAACATCTAGGTATCCACTCGCCGTCTTCTTGTAAATCGGACTCGGGAATCAAGTCCTCCTGATCTGAAATGGTTAAGGAATGAGCTACACTAGCCCAGTAAAGACATCACACTATATCACTGTCACAGAAGTAAATGTTGGTAGAAAACCAAAAACAACCAATGGAGCACAAGTTTCAAGTAAATTCATTTATCAATAATTAAACCATTTACCGTCCACTTACCTCAGTGGGATTTATAAAAACGACCCATGGAAATAATAACATCATAGATATCATAAGTTCATACATAATCTATAACATAGTATATGTCATACTTTTATATTTCAATCATCAAACAACAGTTGCCCCCTTTTTATCAGCCTACTAGTATCCGTGGGGATCCATAGGGGTCCCCGCTACCCGTGAACCATTTCCTTGACAAACTTAATTTTCAGGACCGTCCCCATACCCCGTCTGGTATGGGTGCCAAGCAATAAACCTCAATACCCCGTCCTGTATAAGGGTGAAGAGGGCCGTCCCCATACCCCGTCCGGTATGAGCACCAAAATATTTAAGTCTCCATATCCTGTCCGGTATGAAACAGCGTTCCCGATAGGGTTCCCTATGGACCCGGTCCGTCCACCATCTCCCAAGATATCTAGTGAGACTGTCAACTTATTCATTTATCAATTCACATACCTTCTCTACTTTTTTCTTAGTTTTCCGTTTCTCACATAAACATGAATACTTAAACAAGTAACGAGCATCCAACAAAGCAAACATATAATCAGATTCACAAAATCAATGCCATAATGAAGTAACAGTGATTTATGCATTCAAAAGTATAGAATAAATAAATTACATATCATACTGCATTTAGACTGTAAAATAGATCAAACAGGAACTAACAGAAAAATATATTCGGTTCAGGCTCCATTAGCAATCGTAATAATTATGTATATCTATTTAATTCGCACAAATATAGTTTTATCCTTTATTAGACTTTAATCCCATGATAGAAAATAGGGTGAGGGGTCTTTACTGATTCGAAGCCGAAAACTGGATTTTCACTGTACTACGGGCAGTCTCTGGGTTCCCTGAATTTTTTTTCGGGAACTGAAACGCGCTTACGGTACCTACACATGTCCCAAATAAACCAAAAATCAGACTCAAGGCTTATTCGACCAATTTCAGAATTTCAGTACGGCGGCTCCGCCGCTCACGGCGGCGATCCGCCTCATATTGGTTGTTTACGGCCATTTTCGGCCGAATTTAGCCAAACTTGCATTGGTTCCTGTGAGAAAACACTTCTGGGACCTCAGTGCGCCGAAAAAATACCGAAAATTGAAACTTACCAGCAGTGGGGCTCTCCTGTACGGCGGCTCCTCCGGCTCGAGTTGCGATTTAGTGTTTTGCTCTGGTCAATTTGTAGAGGAAGGAACGGTGGTCACATTGGTGTAAAAATTATATCGAACAGGAATCGAAAAGGGCCTCATCGGAGGCAAAAACTGAGAAAACCCGCGGCAACGCTGCTGGGCTTCGGCGGCATATTTCAGCCAATTGCCTAGTGTTTTGGCTCCGATTTGGTCATAGGTGGGTTTAGAATCGAATTTTGAGCCAATTGGAGAATTTTTATCTCGTTTAGAGGCCGAAAAGTGCTCAGGTGCGGCGGCGAGTGGCGGCGGTCGGCTCCCCGGCGGCTGGGCTATCTTCTCCGGCGAGGGCTCTGGTGGCTAGGGTTAGGGTTTGGGTGTGGATGAAATTATTTATAACATTCTACTTTTAATATGAGCTGTCCATCGTGATTTAATCTGGACCGCCCAATCGCAATTAAAAAGAAAATGAATCTGGACCGTTCATCGCGATGCAATCTGGGCCGTCCCTGCGCGTTTTTGATCTGAGCCGTCCGTGCGCGTGGGAACGGATCTCAGCCGTTTAATCGCGCGCACGCGGATCACTCACGTGGCTCCTTTACACGTGGCCTCCCGTGTCAGCATCTCTGCCATGTGGTGCGTTCTGGTTGGTCGGGGCTGCTGACCATGCAGCTGACGTGGAGCAATTTTTTGAAATTATGTTTTGACCCCTGATTTTTCAATTTTCTTTCAAAAATACCTTTAGAACCCAAATTTTTACCAATTTTTCCTAAAATTATTTTCAATTAAATCTCTAAGAAATTTTTTCCTTTTTATTGTTTTTTTTTTATTTCTATTTAAAATAAATTAAAGTAATTTAAAGTAAATTAAATATTATTAATACTTAATTATATTTATTTAGAATTAATTAAAAATAATACAATAAAATAATAATAACAATAATATAAAAAAAAAAAAACTTAGGTGTTACACAGAGAGCATATACACTTTTTTATTTTTATTTTAAAACACTATTTCTTTTTTAGAGTCCAACAAAGAAGAATAAATAAAAAAAAAAAAGAAAAAGAAAATAGTCATACCAATTCTGTATCAAAGTCTTAATAGAAAGCAAGTCAAAGTCTCGGTCAACAAACAATTATTCTCGCATATTTAATTTTTTATTGAATATTTTTAATTTCTCTAATTTCTTTTTTTTTTAATAGTTTTTTTAAGTTTGCTCTCTTTGCTTGTTTTTTACATTTTCGTCGATACATTCAACTAACATATATACTATTGTCAACATTAGCAAACTTAACAAAGTATCAAATATAACTCTCTATGTAGCGCCCAGGGAAATTGAAGAAGGAAGAAAAAAAAAAAAAAAAAAAACGTGCGTGCCACGTCAGCAGCCCGTCAGCAGACCCAGTCAGCAGGCCTGGCCAACCAGGAGCTGCCACGTGGCAAAACCACGTCGACCGGGGACGAGCCACGTTGGCGATCCGCGTGCGCGCGATTGGACGGCCCAGATCAATCGCGCGCACGGACGGCCCAGATTTAATCGCACGGACGGTCCAGATTTAATCAAAAACGGACGGCCCAGATTAAATCAAAATGGACGGCTGAGATCAAAAGGCAAAAGGGTATAAATAAGACCCCCACACCAGACCCCAAACCCTAGCCGCCTGCCCTCGCCGGAGAAGACGAACCAGAAGCCGGCCGCCGCCACCCGCCGCCGCACCGGAGGGATTTCCGACCGCCGATCGAGGTAAATTTCATACCCCCGACTCGTTTTTCCACGCTGATTTCTCCAGTTGCCAAATCGGAGCCAAAATCCCGACCAAACGGCCAAAAAATAGGGCTGAAAACCAACGGCGTCGCCGCGCCCCTTCTCGGTTTTTGCCTCCGATGAGGCCCTTCCTGGCCTCCGTTTAATGAAATTTTTATATCACCGTGATCACCATTCTTTTCTCTATAGGTTGATCGGAACCGAATCACCACAACACGAACTTCACCGGAGAGCCGCCGCACCCGAGAGCACCGCCGCCGGTAAGCTTCGGTTTTCCGTAAATTTTCGGCCCCCCGAGGGCCGTAGTGTTTTTTTATCGCAGGAACCAATGCGAGTGTGGCCGAAAACGGCCAACCCGAGGCGAACCGCCGTCGCCGGAGCACGGCGGAGCCGCCGTGCCGGAGTTGCGATATTGACCGAAAGGGGCCCTGGGCCTAATTTGGGATTTTTTGGAACACGTGCAGGTACCAGTAGTGCGTTTCAGTTCCCCGGAAAAAATTCAGGAAAAATTAGGGACAGCCTGCAAGCGCACTGTGAAGCCGTGTTCGGACTCCGAAACGAGTAAGGACCCCTCACCCTATTTCCTATCACGGTTTTAAAGTTCAATAAATGATAAAACGGTATTTCATGAATCAACGAATGTGTGAAATTGCTTAAGGTCGCTAATGGAGCCCGAGTCTAGTGTGTTTGTCGGTTAATTGTTATTTGGCCTGTTTTACAGTTTTAAATGCAGTATGAGGTTTGATGTTTTCATTTTATAGTTTCGTGTGCATATTGTACTGTTTTATCGATTATGGGTTGAATGACTGGGATATTGATACTGTATGTTGTCTGTTTGGCATAAATTACTGTTTTGCTTGTTTGTATGTGA